CTTTCCCGGCCGCTCCTCTCATCAGGACTGCACAAAGCTTGAAGCATTTTAAAAACAGAAAACTCTGGTGCTGCTTTATTAAAATGCCTTTCTGGAGAGAGACGAATGAGACTGGACTAGAATCTCCTTTCCAGCTGCTTGCCTTGGAAGCAATGAAACAGCATGGCAGATGGTAACATCCCCTTCCTTCCCTTCCCTGTTTACATAGCTTTGTAACTGAACAACTGTGAGAAGCTGCCTAAGTACATAGAAGTTAAATATCATCATAAATCTCTGACTCTTCTCAAGCCCACTCAGCATGCTCCATTATACAGAGCATATTGTAGTTACTGTCTCCCAATAGGTATCATCTATCAGCACTTCACACGCAATCCTGAGCGGTGCCAAAAGCCTGCGAGTTGTGTTACAGTCATGAAAGTGGTACAGTTTAAAGTTATGTGCAAGCTGATTAATGGGATAGTAGTTTTTTCCAGTTATCTCTTCATTTTTTTCCCCCTTTTGTAAGTCTATCCCAGGTATTTGTGCATTTACAAACAATCAGATTACCCAATAAGATGCAACACCAAAAGTGCTAGGAAATTAAATTCTAAAATTGCCCATAATGCTGGTAATAAAGCAGGTAACAGTGCAGCTTTCTGATGCACTGCCACTAATATTTCCTGTTGAAGGATACAAGTTCCATTCTGAGACTCACCTTTGTAGTTTTGTCCTGCAGATCTGTAGTCCCTGAATTGTGGCTAATGAGGTTCTGGTCATTTCAGTGGGGTGCATGGCTGGCACACAGTGGTGGCACCTGCTAATCCTACTGATTAGGGTACCTGATGTTACTGATTCAGCCAAAAAGTGGATGTAGAAAACCTTGCAGAAATCCATTTGAACTGGACAGGCTTTAGAACTCATACCTGAACCATGACCCAAGTGAAATGTTGTGTTTCCACTAGCACTCTACCCCAGACATCCATTAAATTGTATGTAATTAATTTTACTTAAATTGAAATTAAGCTTACTTATATTTTGATAATATTAATAGATTAATAATTGATCAATAACTCCCCCCTATATAACTATATATTTTCAAAACCAGAAGCCCCACGTATCTTCTGAAAAACCAATTTAATTTGCTTGTGTGCTGTCCACTCTTGTAACTGCTGTTCTGCTTTCAGTACAATTTGGTGGATTCCTCCTTAAGAAGAGAGAGATCCTAAATTGTCCAAAAGCCTAAATTTTTGAAAAGGCCACAGCATTTATGCTTGAGGATTATCTGGCACAGGTAGCTTTACTATCTGATGTGAGCTGAGACAGGCTTTTTTTCTGAGTCCAGACATCTCTCCCCGTCAGTACAGGAGAGTAGTTATGGCTCCCCTCTTACTGCGCCTAAGAGACCTAAGAGAAAGCTTCCTCCTAAGAGGAGACAGGAAAGACCAGTTGCAGCTCCAAAGAAAGGAAGAGGAAAAGTACATAGCGTGGATCAATATGCTGCGGAAGCTCGTCGGAAGAAAGTAAGTTTACATATGTTCCAAAATGTTATGATGGAAGTGCCACTTTTTAGGCGCTATGCTAGCTTTAATTTTTTTCAACTTGGGAGTTCACTCCATGCTTCAGGTTGGGATTTCACAGACACAACTTCTGTAAATGTACTGAAGGACTCAAAGAAAAGCAGCCAAACCAGACCAAGTCTTCTGGGAGCTATGTTTTTCGTGTTCCAGACTCTGTATTAGGGAAAGTCATCTTTATAATCTCTTTATAGTTTTAAATCCAACCATCAGCTGAAGGCACTGTCAAACAAATCCCTGGGAAGATGCTACCAGTGCTGCTGACCCTTCTGAGCAGTTACAAATTGTGCAATATATTGTAGCCTCTTTAACTCCGCAGCTCATGGGAGCCTAGTGATTATTTGAGCTTCCATGTGTAGTCATTGTGGTTGTGGAAAAGTCCTGAAAATGTGACTCATAAAATCTTAAAGGGAACAAACTTCAAAAAGTTGTTTAAAGAATATATATTTTAAAGCCAGTTTGTGACTTGGGAGGAGATTCTTGATTGCACGAACTCTGAACTCTGTATTTGCAACAGAAGTGGTGCGTAAATCGGCTTTCACACGAGAAATGTCAAATGGAGATTGCTCATTAGGAAAAGGTGCAAGTGGAGGAAAAGGGTATTCCTTAATCTATCATCTTTCTCCACTTGGCGCTAGCTAACACACTGAGAAGGGTTATAGACAACTTCAGTATTATCTTCATTTCAAAAATTTAACTAAATAATTACACAAGTCTTCAGCAAACTAACATTTCTCCTTTAGGCTTTAAATGAAAGCCTTGACACTCCACCCTCTCCTACAAGAGGCTATAAACACTTTTCTCAATATTTTTTTTGTGAGGGTGTTTTTTTGACTTGTTGCATGATTAAACTTGAACCAGTTATTTTGAGACTGATTCTTTAAGTGTTAAAGTCATGACAGACAGTGACATGCAAAAGAATTATCACGTATAAGAAAACGGGAATTTTCCAGAGAATTTGTGACACAAATTTACCCGAGAGGAGAACTGAGAACCCTTTTTTTTGTTTAACTTTCTCTCTTTCTCTGGATGAAAAGATCATCCAAACTTAGCCCTAAAGAACTGCTCCTGTTCTAAAATATGAAAATTTATCACTATTATTTCAGGAAAAATAATCCTAATATTACACAATAGTTTCCATCATATCTGCAAGTTAATCTTTTGGTGCTGTTTGAGAGCAATAGGCTGGACCCTAGTAATTAAAAAAAAAAAAAGTAAAAGAGGACAAAGTTAAATTCTTCCTTTTAATCAAGCTTCTTCTAAGGAAAAACTCAAGAGAGAATCCAGTTGTGGTCTATATATCTCAGATCCTATACCAAACGCTTTCACAATAGTACCAACTCTTTATTGTAGCACCATTAGAGATCCATATGTCCTGAAAGAGAAAATGTTTATGTACACGCTTCCAAAGTCTTGATATCAACATACTAGGTGAAGAAAAGTATATGCAAGTTTTTTACTTGTTTCCCAATAACTCTTCGGAGGTTGCATCTGGGAAAGAACATGAACTGTAAGAGCAGCATGTCCACACAAAAAATCCTTGCCTGAATATGCCACCTACAGCCAGCCTTAGGCTGCAAAGGTTGCCTGGGGAAAAACTTGAGCTTTGTGTAGAATAATAAAAGGTAGCTGAATTAAAAAATTGAAGAGAGATAGGATGCAATGAAATGAAGAAACATTAGTGAGGCCTTTCTAAGGGCTGCTTTGAACATAGTCAAGTAGAGAAGATGGCAAATTTGAAGGGGTTTTTTTTTTGTGTGGTTTTCTGCATGAGTTTTTTGCTTCTTTTAAAACCAGGATTTTTCATTTATATTGACTTTCTTACAGTTTCAGAAATGTCTCTGCAGGTTTACAGATTAATTTGGTGAAATGGGTAGCTAAACAAAATTACCATCGCTTGAAATCCCTGAAATCTCTGGAAGTATTGTTGCTCTATTTTTTTATTAGCATTACTTTTTAGAAGAAGCCTCAAGCCTGCTGACAAATGTAAACACTAATGGGAAATCCATCTGGATTTCCAGCTTCCTTGAATAAGCTTTGGATTCTGAGTAAAAGTTGTATTTCCTTATATGATTGATGTTCTACAAATACAGCTTCATAAAAGTGGAATTCCCATTTGCTGAAGAAATTCTTTGTATTTGAAAGTGGAAGAATACTGAAACAGACAATTTCCTTTTCTTTCTAAACTTGAAATGTTCCAAAGACTTAACTGAATTGACGACTTAGGCTTTCCTGAATTAAAATATTTCAAAATTTCATTCTTTTCCTGAACCACTTCCATATGTTGCAGAAACTGTTCCTCCTGTTCCCCACCGTGACTCCACGTCTCATGAGCCTCTTCTCTCTGTATTTATAGTGCCGCATTGGAGATGACATATCCTGTCTTGTCTTATAACCTATCAAACTCATTTAACATCCATCCCTCAATGACTCAGGCAGAGGGAGAATTTCTGAACTGTCTCTTTCTGGGTCAAACTAACACGATGTTTGTTTTTTCTTCTCAGAAAATTCTGCCAAGGTCTAGGTTTTTCTGATTCAAAATTTGTTAGCATTCTGTTTGTCAATGGGAGGATGTTTTGTTGTGGAGACTTGGACCAGCCAAATCAAACAGACAAGCAAAGAGGAAGTTGGCATATAATGACAAGAAATGTTTTCTTCTCAAAACCAAAACAAAATCTGAGTCCTCTGCCTAAAGTCTTACTTTAAAATGCTTCCCTTCTCTGTGCCATCTGGTAAAAAAATCTTACATTTTCATATAGCTGAAAACAAAATCCTATGAACATGTCTTGGTGTTTTCTGTTTTGTTTCTTGATGAAAAGGAAACTTAAATGAAGAAATTGCAGTACTGCATCCATGTCTTCTGGGGCCTGTTGACAATTTGGCCAAAACTGCCATTTGAGATGTTGAAAACTCTTGGCTTTGAAGCTGAAGAACACTCCCTCTGAGCCCCATGTGCTGCTCAAGTGACTTGCATATTGTCATCCTAGTATCAGATGTTATTTGAAGTGAATTTCATTAAGTGACTTGGCATATGAATCCCAAGCCCAAAACAACATTTCATCTGAAGATGAAAGCTTTGACTAAACCATTCACATAAAATAGCCTTCAAAAGTCCTACTACAAACCATACCCCAAAGTCACGTGTTTTTCTAATATCTATACTTTGTCTTAGCAAATGTACATGTGTCCATGGGAGGCCTAGGGTCAGCCATAAAGATCTTTTGCTGTCTTGTGTCAGCATTTCAGCAGGGCTTTCTCATGGTGAAATCACAGTGTGGATATGGGAAAGGAAATGGGATGATAATTGTAGGTGTAACAGCTCAGCCAAGGCTTTGCCTCTTGACCTGGATGGTTTTCCTATCAGAGTTTTGCCAAAGGACCTCCATTTGTAGAATGGGAACACTGCAATGACAGAATTAACTTTTTCCTTTCTGCATGTTTATACAGATGATGGTGAATCCCCTGAGAGAGATTGACAAGACAGTAGGACAACTAATGGATGGACTGAAACAGTTGAAACTACATCGATGTGTCAATGTCATATTTGTTGGTGATCATGGTAAAATAAACAATATTTTTATCAGTATGACCCATCCCTGGCCGTGTTCAAGGCCAGGTTGAACGGGGCTTTGAGCAACCTGGACTAGTGGGAGGTGCCCTGTCCCATGGCAGGGGGTTGGAACTGGGTGATCTTTAAGGTCCCTTCCAATCCAAACTGTGATCAGTATAAAAGTGCTTGAGCAATGTACCTGTACATATAACAGGTGGCTTAAATGAAAGTTCCATTTATGATATTTTTGTTCTGACTTTTTCTGGTAGTTTAAATCCCCCAAACCAGCCAGTTGGTTTGGACCGGCCATTCAACTCACTGGTTAATTGTCATTAGAGGACACTTCTCTTTCATAACAGTGATCTGGGCATTTACATCTCCACTTAGAGTTTTTCAAAGCTTGGCATTTTTGGTATCACCTCCAAGTGCAGCTCTCCATGCACGAATTGGAAAGATTAGATAATAATGGGGGAAGGAGGAAAATGGTAAAAATACATATTGGGCCAGAGTTAGACAGAGAGTAACCAGAAAGCAGAGATCCTATTTAGGAGGTCTCATTCTTTCTGGCATCAGAAGAAACTTTACAATAGAAGAAATAGTAAATACTAGCAAAGACAAAAAGAAAGCTTTATTAAAGAAAAATGTGACCATGTTTGAGACAAACCTGTTTCTGCACAACATTTTAGCGATGCTAACAAAGGTCCTGTTCTGTTTCTTTGTTTAAGAAAGTCTCACAATAACTGCTACGTTGTCAATAAAATGGCATATGTCTCCTTTCTGGCTGTGGGGAGAGAGCGTAAGGGGCAGGAAGGATTTCCAGGGAGGCAGTTTTGTGCTGACAACCGCCTGTGACTGGGAATACAGTCCTCCCTGCCACGAACTGTAGGAGAGAATTGTTTATCTGTGGCTGCCTTGGAACAGACCACCAACAGACAATACCTTTTGTGTGCAGTTTCTCTTAAAATCCTTTGTTTAAAAAAACCCAAACATCTCCAAAGTAGTACACTAAACTAGAAACAGACTTAGATTTTTCCATGAGCTTAGTTTGGAGATATGTCAGTGCACACATGGTATATGTGGTGACTGTTTCTATGATGCTGAGACTAGTATTTCTCTTCTGGAGGCAAGTGCTAAAATCACCCATAGTTTGACTCCTACCAGTGTCTGATGTTGGAGTTAAAAGACTAGAAGGAACAAGATCAGTCATCCAAACAAGAAGAAAGCATAGGCTGTTTGGGGTCTCTTTTTGTGCTGTTTTGGAAAACATGTTTATTTTCAAGCTGGATTAATTTTGCATTTGCTTCTGCAGGGATGGAAGACACTACTTGTGAAAGAACTGAATTTTTAAGCAACTATCTGAGTAATGTGGAAGATATCATTTTGCTGCCTGGATCTTTAGGGCGAATTCGCCCCAGGTCTAGCAGTAACATAAAATGTAAGTTAATCGTACCCTTTATGTCGTGAGAACTAGACTCCATCCCTTCCTTGGGCTTATGTTGTCCAAAGAGTGTATATGTTGGCTGGACATTTGGAGGGAAGCCCACTGGAAATCAGCTGCTTGTTCCCTTCCCAGTCTGTAGTACACAGACTCCATAGTGACACAGCTGTGCCAAGAGGATGGCTGAAATATTCAGAGTTAAAACCCACCTTTTTGTAGCAAGGAGGAGGAGTGAGTACTCAAAGTGAGTTTCACACCTCAGCTTACATGTCATTGTGGCTTTATGGATGCGCTTTTCTCTGCCAACAAGCAGGATTTGGGGTATCTCAGCCCTGCATGGATTTAATATTAGAAAAAAACATCTGGCACCTTTTCTGAGCTAGTGGAAAAGAAATGAGTTGTTAATTTTGAATTTAGGAGCTTCTTCATACTTTTGGCACAGATGAGAAGCATCATGGGCTGCTAAACAGCAACAGATTTGAGATGCTGAAGGATAAAAGGGAGATTTAGAGCATGCATTCAGGGCCAATATTGACAGTAAAACTTGCTGCCTTTTTGTACCATGCTGTTAGAAATTCATCCTGACTTGGTGTTTGAGATTAGCTGATCTTTGATGAGAGTACTCAGGGCTCAGGCAGGAGTCCTTTGGTGAAGCTAACTCTGTGATTTAAAGCATCAGAGACCCAGCTGCATCATGTAAAGATCTGCTGAAAATAGTGTGCATGTTGATAAAACTCACTAGAGTAGCATAAAGGCTGAATTTCTGTATTTCGCAGTCTACTGAAATCTTGTATTTCAGTTCCATTCCATTGGGGTGGTTTTTAATTTATGTGTGGTTTTTTTGTTTGTTTGTTTGTTGTTTTTTTTTTTTTAAGATCTTTCAACCCTTGAATTCCCAAATTGCTGAGAAAAAATAGTTTTCTTTGGAGGTTTAATGGTATTATCTTCCAAAAAGATCAGTTTGTCTGGTTGACCTCTGAGTCACACTATGGGTTTTCCTGTAATACCATTTTCCTCTTTTGTCCTCTGCAGTTTCCTGCTTTGAGTATCTGCAAACAAACAAACAAAAAAAGATATTCCTTAGTTTTAGAACTTGGGTTTGCCCCCTGAGATGGCAAATTACCAACTGCTCTATTCATCACCCATTTTCCTATTCCATAATGATACTGCCTCAATACTTCGGACACACGTTTGCAATGAATAAGTCTGTAGCTCATATTTTGAGATTCAGGAAAGCTCATTTCAAGCTCAGCAAGATAACACCTTAAGCAACCAAACCAATAGTAATTAAGCAAGAGATTTTAATTTCATAAGATTTTCTATTAGCCTGTTTTTTCTGTCAGGTCCGACAAATACCACCTTGACATTCTCACACACACCGACCCCCCAGAAGAAAACAGAGTTAGTGTGGACTGTTGCTGGTTTTAGACCTTCTATTTCTTGCATGTCCCTTTAATAGTCCAAAAACGTATCCAGAATATTTTACTGTGGCTTTTCATGTGATATATCCAATACACTTTTAGTAAAGATCAACCAACTTTTAAGAAGAATGCTTATATAAAATTGCAGTGTTACCTTGTGTTTTATTCTGCAAATTGTTCATCTTTTATACTTTTGTCTTTTTTTTTCTTTGCTTAACAGATGATCCTAAAGTGATTGTTGCCAACCTTACAGTAAGTATTTAGGACTGGGAGGTATCTCTGCCTACACTGCACTGCTCACACCACATCTTAATTTGGGGCATTATACAGCATTCTCTCCTCACTCTTTAGGCAGGAAAACCAACCATTAACATGAATAAAGAGTGTTAAATGGTACCCTTCATGAGTACAAATTAATGTTTGTCATAAATTCCACTGTTTGCTGCTGAAGTAGCTTTTATAACCTTTTTGGGTAATGCAGAGCCAGAATCTCTCTGACCACCTTGACTTCCTGAATTGAGTCTATTTATTCATTCCTTCAGAAATGGAAAGTAATCTTTTAGGGTAAATATTTTACTAGCACTTTGAAGATCTTGAAAAAGTTCATGTGATAGCCTCCAACTATAACCTTGTTTTTAATGGGGAAAAAAGTGTTTAAAATAAAAGCCAATTAAAAAAAATAAAACTTAATTTTGTAACCAGATGGCTTTAAATATATCTGCAGATGAGAGACATTTTGAGCATTCAGCTGTCCTCTGAAACTTAAGTTTTGGTCCAGTTAGAACAAAATTCTTCATCCGTGAGCTAAATAAGTGCAATGTTTTGCATGATGCTTTCAAAAAGACTGTCATGAGAATGGAGCTTTCCAAATACATCTTTGGATGACTCCCTGGGCCCTGGTCTTACGCAAATACTGCACAGAAGGGGCTGGACCACATACTTTAGATGTACAGTTTGTTTTCAACACATCATCAATAATGACCTTAACAGCTTGATTTCTGTAGTTCAAGGCTTTATATGCATCTAAGCTAACTGACAGCAGTGTCATTTGTAACCATTTATTTTTCAGTGTAGAAAGCCAGACCAGCATTTCAAGCCTTACCTGAAACAGCACCTGCCTAAGCGCTTGCACTATGCTTACAACCGAAGAATTGAGGATGTTCATTTACTAGTGGATCGCAAATGGCATGTGGCAAGGTAAACTCTTGCTTTTGCTTCCATCCTGATTTTCAGCCTTTTTCTCTAAGGAAATGAGACACCTGGGGTTGCCCTGCCTTGTGTTTTGAACTCCTGGTAAGGTTCAATCATGTTTGGAGCAGGCTATGTGTCTCAGAACACAAAAGTGTTTTAAGATTTGGGAAAATCAGTAGCTGGATACAGGGTAGAAACCCGTGTTGGTTTCCTCAAGCAACTGTGTGGTTTTTTACTGATTAGCTCAAATATAGGAGCTGATAAGCTTTTTCAACGAGGTGCAAGCTTATTCCAACTGGGAAGCAGGGAATATGGAAGAAAAGGGAAGGTATATGTGATCAAGGATGTTAGGGAACAAGAGGCTGAGTGGATGCAATGGGTGAAGGGAAAGGAAATGGAGATATTGGCAGTGGGTAAGTGCCTGAGAACTTGTGGAAGGGTATGGTAGGGTGGCCATCAAAGTGCCAGCAGTGTATTGTGTTGGAAAACAAATCCATAGAAACCCAGGATGCTTTATCTCAGTGAAAGCCCTGTTTTGGGTTGTTCTTCCCCATATGCCTCAGAATTTTCAGTTATAAAATATGGGCAATTTTAAATATTCTTACTCGGCTAAAAACTGAGTGAGGAAAAACAAGTTAGTGCATACATGTATAGGGGCAAATTGATACATACATGCATAGGGGGAACAGGAGAAGAGTAGCCTTTGTTTATGAATTGTGCACCCCTTTCAGGTTTATTATATATTCTTTTTCTTGCTTTGATCTTTTGACACATGTTGTGTATTACAGTATAAGAATGGCTGGGTCTTTATGCATAAAACTGACTCAGTGGTTCTTGGAAGGTGACACAGCTTTTGGCTTATGGTCGACTTACGAGCTTTAAATTATGGTAGGGTTTTTTGCCCATATAGCTGCCAGGCAAACACACGATGTGTTGTAAGTGCCTTTTGACATCTGTGCTTATCTTTCCATGAATTATGCAAGGATCACTCTGCTGAAGCAGTGAATGAGAAACCCTAATTGTTTTCTTGCACAACTCCACTAGCTGGCTGGCCGGCTGCCCCATGCAGTTTCTGTGGCTGGGGTTCATGCACATTTCTAAGAATCACACTTGTTTTAGGCCTACAAAAGTTTTAGTTTGAAGAATTTTACTGGAACTAATGGGATGGCCCAAGTTGATTTACATTTAGTAATTTCTTATTAATTACATCAGACTTTCTTTGGCTTGCTTAGGCATTAGCTTTTCTGAAATTACATTCACCGATAATTCATTTGTTATTGTAACTGCAATTTGTTGTATATTCACAGCCCGGAAAATGGTGTTTACAGAACTAATTGCTGTAACTCAAGTAATCTACAGGGCCAAAATGAGCATCATTTTATTGCAGATGAAGAAATTAACGTGTAAGAGGAAATTTTCTAATACTTTTTTCAATTTAGGAAAGCTGTGGACGTTTACAAGAAACCAACAGGAAAATGTTTCTTCCATGGAGACCATGGCTATGACAACAAGATAAACAGCATGCAGGTATGAGCAATGCAGTAACCTTTGTGGGAGGGTCATTAAAGGCAGAAAAAATTGGAATTCTCTAAAACATAAATACTCACTGAAAATCCTACCTTTTAATGCCTTTTTTTTTTTTTCCTCAAGACTGTCTTTATAGGTTATGGCCCTACATTCAAATATAAGACCAAAGTACCTCCTTTTGAAAACATTGAACTTTACAACGTCATGTGTGGTAAGCTACCTACTTGAGAAATTTGAAGAGAAACACTCTGTTTTAACTAACAGGGCTTCATTTAGCCACCCATGAGCTTGTACCCTCACTCACTCCCAGTATCCCTTCCCCTGTCCCAAACACTTGCCTTTTGGTGAGGAGGGTTGAAGGCTCTTAATAAGAGCCTCAGTTTGCTCTACTCTAGAGCTGGCCAGTAAAGTGGGGGTACCATAGTTTTGCTGCATGCAGCTTGGCAGAGGTCAAATACACACCACTACAGTGCATGGTGTCTGCACCTCAGCAGTCTAGGAAAGAGATTTCTGTTCAGAGGCTGCTTTTGCAGCTGCAGTTCTCATGGAGCAGCTCAGAGATACCACTTAGCTTTCTATGGCATCTCCTGGTATGACTGTGTTCCCTGAACTCGTACTATAGCAGCGAAGATGAATCCGATGATGTATACAGATTTTCATTAGGATCTTTAATATTGATTTTCCAGTGCAATTGAAGTTTCAAGCCAAAGGTGTAGGTCACTTATTTAAACTTCTAGTTTCAAATGTGGAATACCAAGAAGATAAATAGCCCTTCTCTATAAAGCAAGTGACTAATAACACTGTGTTCCAGATGGTTGGTGTAAGGTCATTATACATTGACTCTAGGTTTGCACTGGAAGCTGCAGGAATAGTTATAAAACTGTTTTCAAGTGTCTTGATGTGAATTAACCTTGTCATAAAGGCTACCGTGCTATTCAGGCAGCACTGGCAATTTTATGATTTGGACAAAATGTTAGTATTTTTATTACATTAAAAGCATTCATTTACTTGTTTTGGGTGTAAACAGTATTGCAAATAAATGTCTTAGCTTGGTGGAGATGCTGCTGAATACATATTTGCAACCTAACCATCATTCATTTGTGTTTTGTGGCTTCATAGATCTGCTTGGATTAAAGCCTGCTCCCAATAATGGCACCCATGGAAGTTTAAATCACCTGCTGAGAGCCAATGTTTATAAACCAACTGTGCCAGAAGAAGTTGCCAAACCACTCTATCCTGTTGCTCTACCTTCTGCGCCAGATTTTGATATAGGATGTACATGTGATGATAAGGTAAGTGTATAGGATGTGCTGAAGTTTCCACTATTAGCAACAGTTGTCTAGTAAAGTTGAGGCCATTTTACCTCTTTTGTGAGGCTGCCATCTGTACCAATACCCCAGATCCTTCCTGTGAAGTGTTTGTGCCCTTTTGTAACAATTCTGGCTTTTTGTAAAACAGGAAACAAAAAAATCATCAGTGTTTCATAGTGCGAGTTTTGTTCTGCTCAGATGTCTAATAATACCAGATGACAGAATGCTCCTAATCTTGTTCTTTTTTTCTTTTCTGTTCTTGAGAAGAACAAGTTGGATGAACTCAACAAGCGCTTTCATGTCAAGGGAACAGAAGGTAAGGGGAAAAAAATACCCTTTTACTGAGCGACCACTTTGGCCTTTCCTTTGAGAGAGACTTTCCTTCCGATGTTTTTTCTAAAGTCTGGAGAAGAGTGGCAGGAGTGATAGGATAGGGGCTGACTTAAAAGTACAAAATACCACCTCATGCTTGACTGAAATGCAGACACAAAGATCCTTGTGGAGTCTCCTGTGTTTAGAGAAACACCTTCTCTCCATGCTATGACCCCAACAATCTTTCAGGCGCAGAAGGGACTTTTAACCTCAAAGTGGATTGTGTCCCTGGAATGGGGATCCCAACCAAAACTACTGATGAATTGCTGCTCTCTCTGTTAAAAGATTTCCTTAGCTGTTATTCAGCATCGGTGTCCCATTAAGGATCACTGTAAAATCAGCATGAGCTGGAAAGCAAACCCTTTTTTCTTTTTCATCTTTAAGGTTTTCAGTAATAAATATAAATGTAATTTCTTCTGATCTGTAGAGAAGCATCTTCTCTATGGGCGCCCCGCAGTACTGTACCGCACAAAATACAACATCTTGCATCACCATGACTTTGAAAGTGGCTACAGTGAAACATTCCTGATGCCTCTCTGGACATCCTACACTATTTCTAAACAGGTTAGTACTGTCTTTGCTCTTGAAAAAGTGCTTAAGAAATCCTGGGGAAATCTGTTTGGTACCTGTATTCTTGAAGTCCTAAGATTTCCCTTCCCCCGAGTAGTTTTTTCCCCACCAGAAATTATGTTGTAAATACTAGAAACATGTTTGTAAACAGTGGCAAAATCCATTTTTTCCTTCAGGAGGAAAGAGTTTTAGGGCAGAAGAGCTGTATATTTATTTTTCTGTTTTCATTTTCTTTCTAAGTTTTGCTTGATGGGGTTTTGTTTTACTCTGATGGAATAATCAGCGACTTCATTTGAATTATTTTGTCTGGTGACTTCAAATACCTTTAAGGAGGAGCTCTGCAGTAGGAGCAGGATTGAGTTGTACAGCTAGGTGGTTTACTCCACACAAGGTCTTCCATGTAATGTTGACTATATGAAACAGTTTTCTTTTAGCTATGAATGCTGAAATTTACTTTCCTTGTCACTTCTATCTGTATTCCTCAATGCAGGCTGAGGTATCCGGTGTCCCGGAGCACCTGGCCAGCTGTGTGAGGCCCGACCTCCGCATTTCTCCAGGGAACAGCCAGAGCTGCGCAGCCTACAGAGGCGACAAACAGCTCTCCTATGGCTTCCTCTTCCCTCCTCGTAAGTTCAGAGAGCTTTCTAATACCTAGAGGTTTTGTAATGTTCTTTTTTGTTAGGGGAAGCCTTATGTACGACACACGTTCCCTCAGATACAAACAGACTAAGGAGTATTTGAGATTGTTGGGAAAGAAGAGGTAGGAATGGTTTAATTTCCCCCTGCTCCAGAGTGATGCCTTCCTCTGTGATGTCTCCTCCTCAGAAGAGCTGTTCCTTCACCTGCATCATGTGTGGGGCCCAATGGGACGAATACATTATTCTTGCTGCACTTGTGGAGGACCAAGGATCCAACACCACAATTTGCATGATTTGCATGAGAGGTGTTCCAAACTGATGCCCAGATTCATGCACAAAACAGTGAAGTGTCCCAGTTTAGTTAATAAAAGTAAAGGTGAACAAAGAAGTGCATGGAGTAGGAGTACAAGCTAGAAGACAGCCTTCAAAAGCTGGCCCTTTAAAGTCGGTGGGTAGATACCAGCTTATATGAACTGGGAATCTAGTTGGAGTTTTTAAGTTTTAATTCAAACGGCAATAAGATAAATGTATATTTAATTTATAAATCCAAATCAGGTTCTTACACACTGTAAAAATCTCAACCATGATACAGAAATAGTGCTAGTAGAAAACCTGCATAAATAAGTATCCTGGATTCTCCCGGTGCAGTTACATTGGTTCAGTCTTGGAGCAACAATCTTATGGAATTATTGTTCAAGGCACACAACTGTCTCATAGTTATGAACTTCATTGCTTTGCTTCCTCACTCAGTGGCTGAAATACTTTATGGTGGATTTCTGACATGGAATTACTGGTGCAAAGGCCTGCTCAGAACTACAAGATAATTCTTCACTCCTCTCCCTGAAAATTGCCTTTTCTGTAAAATCCTGCAGAGCAGCTCTCTGACTTTTGAGACTGCAAAAATAGATGAGCTATAAAAATATTTGAACTTGTTGACAGTTGAAGCAAAGATAAAATCCTCACTTTCCATGTTCAGCTGTCACATTAAAGACAAATCTTATGCACATAATGTGCACTTCTGAATATAGCATTCAGATGGCTGTTTAGATGACAGCATTCCCTTTGATTAATCTCCAAAGCCATTCTTAAAACATTTTTATATTCTTTGAATTTCTGATATTTCATCTTGTTAACATTTTCTGGTTTATTGTTTTCAGAATTAAGTTCCTCCGCAGAAGCCAAATATGATGCTTTTCTAATAACAAATATCATTCCAATGTATCCTGCCTTCAAAAGTAAGTGCCCTTTCCATGGCTGTACTTCTCTTTCCCAACTTATTTTTTCCTTAATATGTGTGTTGGGCTATGAAATGAATTGATGGGACAAGTTTAGAACATAAAGTTAAGTTACCTGTAACCAGTAGTTAATGCATGTGGTCACCTGTATAGTTCTAGGTATGGGTAGGCACAATACCACAAGAAAGACTTAAGTTGTAAGGAAGGTTTCTTTTCCTTGGAGCTGGGCTAAGAGAAGAGCACAGACGTACCGTAGTTCAGCAATTTCATGCCACAGTAATTCAGTTTGTGCAAAACCAGTCAGACTTTCTTGTCTGTAGTGAAAGCCAGTGAAGAACATACTTCGGCAGCATGTTTTTACTTCTGAAGCCTGGGAGTGTGCACTTAGCATGTTGTTGTACTTCAGGGACGAGTGGTTATTTTTGATTCTTTCTTTCCATGCCCTTAGAGGGAGACCTAACATATTTATTACCTATAAAGAAAAGGCAAGAGGAAAATAAATGAGGAATGACTTTAACCTGGCTGAAACTTTCAGCACTGCAGGGATATAGTATTAACATTTCTTTTGTCTGCACATCCGTTTTCTCTCTAGTTTTGCCAAGAGGTAGGAAAACCATCAGACTATTCTGGTGGCATTTTTGGCTTGGCAGGAATTGGGAAGCCTTGGAAGAATCTCAAAAGCCTGTTCTTGTGAGATTTCCAATTCAGATTTTAGGCCAGAGAGGTTTGGATAAACATCAAAGCCTATGGGAAGCTTTTTCTTTTCTAACCAGAAAAGAGTGTTTTAACTGAAAAACCTCTGAGTAGGAACAAGTGGTGATGTTTGCTGGAAATCTAAGCAAAAGCACTTAACTGATTACAGAGTGCAAAATTATTGGGGATTTCCCACTCAAATCACTTCATAAAAATGATCTTTATGCTAACGTTAGTCTAAGCAAATTAGCCATGATGCTAATTACAGGAGAACAACCCACCACTAGCAGCTCATTTTGTCTAGTGGCCTTCCTCTTCATCACAAGTGGGTGAAGGACTCTCTAAGAAAAAATGCTGGAACTAATATCATTACGTTACAAACCACTACATGTGTGCAGGTTGCAATGCTGAGAGCTGATTATAAGCTTGTTATATGGAGCTTTTTCCACACCAGGGAAAATACGAGGTGGCAGTTTCATGCTATGTTGGCTTTGGTGACAGTGCTTGCTGCAGAGACCTAATACTCTCTGGGTTTTTTAATTAAATCCCATCACATTTCCCTAGGCAATAATTCTCTATCCATCTTTTCTGTAGTGAGTATGTCTTAAGCACCTTCTGTTTTGCTTCAGGAGCTCCAAGATGATGCCCTTGGGCTGGCCCCTGTTCCACTGGTGGTGTTGTCTGTGTGGCTGCAGTAGAAACCTAAGTTGGGCACTGATTCAGCTGGAAAACTGAGGGGGGAAAGCTTTCCTTTCGGGCTATTTTTATTGTTAAGGCTGATGCACTGGAGGAGCAAGCAGCTGGAGGAGTAGCACTGCCAAGTGCTTACCGCAGCTGAGGTTCTTGTTAGACCATTGCTTGTGGGACCCTCTGCGTCAGCCTGACCAGGGAGTTCATGTGGCGCTGAGCACTCTCAGGACAAGGCGTACTAGAGAACTTGCTGAAGCTGGCATTGCCATCACCACCAGGGGATCATTGACTTAATGGACTGAGCTGGCAAGACAGAAGTGGAACGTTTACACGTCTGAGATGTTTTGTTTACACACACTCCTGTCAGTGTTGGAAAAAAGAAGGAAAAGAATGATATAGCAGTAGGCTCCAGCATCTTTCCTGTCTCTGCAAGCATCTTAACTTGTAAAGTTGAAGGGGGTGTGGTGCGAGAAAGTGTCATGCTCTTCCCAAAAGCTGCTGTAATGAGATGCCGTGCCATAGTTTGGTCATCCCTGACGGCACCTAATTTCAAAATTAGTCATTTTGCATCCAAGGAGAATTTAACTCCTTTATAAATACCTTCGTATTACCCGTTCCTTTAAAATATTTGGGTTTACTTTTAATCATGGTGCTGTTTCCTTACTAGAATTAAAAACAAAAAAAAGCCACATCACCATTCCCTGTAACTTGATGAAAAAGATAAAAAAGACAAAGGAAGTGTTTACAGGGACATCAAAAGCGTGTGAATAGCTGTTTCTGCTGTTTGGTGAAGGAACAGCGGACTCTCTGTGCAATGGCTATGGCAATGCCACTCTGGGAGTGGTACCACGCATTTCCTTTATCACTGGTTGGGGAGAAAAAAAATCAACAGAGAACAAAGAAGCCTGAATAGGCTTTACTGACCAAACTGAATGAAGCTGCAGTAAATTTTTAATGCTTAGTTTTTGATTTCCCCTACCATTATGTGAATGATGTCCTCTGAATTTTTATTTTCAGGAGAAAAAGAATTGTTTATAATCTTGACATGTTTTGACTTATAAAAATTTTGGTGTATTTTATTTTCAGTTGGTTTTTATTTTCTTTTTTGTCCTCACAGAGGTATGGAACTATTTCCAAAGGGTTTTGGTAAAGAGATACGCCACTGAACGAAATGGAGTCAATGTTATAAGTGGACCAATCTTTGATTATGACTATGATGGTTTACATGACACACCTGACAAAATAAAACAGTAAGAGTTTGTCTTTAAATTAGTTTTCTCTTGTTTAATGATGGCTTTGTCTTAAACAATTCATTAGCTGTACATTATTTAATTTTTGGGAGGAGATGTAATTTTCTAGCTCTTTCTAAAATTATTGTCCATCAAGACTGAATGTCCCTGTAGGTAGGACAGTGGTAAAAAAAAGGGAGTGGCAATTCTGTAGGTAACTGTTCACCTTGACTTTGAAATTAAGTGTTCATTCATCCTTGAGATGGAGCTGAATTATGTTCCAAATAATCTATTTTCTCTAAAATCCTTCAGAACTTAAAAGCTAACAACTGGATACCAGAGCAAACCAGAGCAAACCATAGCAGTGATATTGAGTTAGGTACTCAAATCTTTCATTAATTCAGTAATGCTTTTTCTCTCTGTCCTTGAACTGAAGAAACCTCTCACCACTGGTGTGTGGTATTTCTATAGCACAGTATCAAAACATTAGCTAATTGAATGCTCATTTTCAGGTATTGTTTAGGAATCAAAAACATCTTGACAGTGTACATGTGTCCTCACACGTAGGGAAGAAAAGACCACATTGTTTGCGTAAATTTCCGAACAAGTTTATTCTTTGTGGTTAAATGTTTGCTTTATTTCCTCAGGTTTGTGGAAGGCAGTGCCATCCCCATTCCTACTCATTACTATACCATCATAACCAGCTGCTTAGATTTCACTCAGCCAGCCGACAAGTGTGATGGACCACTCTCCGTTCTCTCATACATCCTTCCCCACCGGCCTGACAATGATGAGAGCTGCAATGTGAGTTCTGCTGCACTACTGTAGCCTGTGGTAATACAATCCTGGGACATGTGAAACCCCATTACTGTTAGATGCTAGTGCTCACTGAAGTCTTGAACTATTACTGCACCTAAAATCGTCAGGAAGAACTGACACACAGTAGGTTGGCAGTAAACAGCCTGTAGGCTTCTACATTTTGGCAGACACTGTCATTGTAACTTCAGAGCAGACTGGGGGGAGGTTGTGTGTGTAGGTGTATTGTGCTGTCAAACAGGTTTTATTGAGGTCTGAGAGTCTCTGTGCTATGGCAGTCTGGGTGCATCAGACAGCATGATTACATTCAACCCCCACAGTATTAAAACTATATGCTAAATCCTGACATGGGTAGAGTGCCAATTCTTGCTGTTTCCAGAACATGTCTTGATTCAAAGGGAAATTTGGGTTTCTTATTAATAGAGATCACCAGACATCCTTCTGGTTCCATTCCTATCTTTCTCTAGGATACAAGATCCTATAATTTAGCATCTTGGTGAAGTACAAAGGCTTTGGTCTGGTCAGCCCTACAGAAAGTAACATGCACTCGGCAGCTGACCACACAGCAGGAGAGCAGTTGGGTCCCCATGGGTTCTGGCGCTCTGCGAGGACAGCAGTCCTCCCAGGCAGCTGTATTTAGACTTGTCCTTCCGCCTGAACTTGTTCTCCCATTACACAGCTGTGTGGATTCCTGCACACAGACACTTCACTATAGGCTGCCAGGAGACCGTTTCCTGAATGAACGCATTAATGTTATGAATTTTGTATTGGCACAAAAAAGTTAAGACTCCTATTCCAGCTACAGGCAGAAATAGTCATTCCAACTCTGTACACAATTCACCTGGAACACTGTCTCTTTCTCATTCATCAAACATCGCCTGCTTTCAGGTCCCTCTTTTTAAAACCATGCTTTTGGAGCAGTATGCCTCTCTCTTGAGCAGGTCTGGCTTCCCCCTGTTTAGACTCTTAACTGCTTTGGGCAGAGATGTCTTCCACCAGAAGTCTCGGAAAGTCCTACATATATTTGATCGTGGTTATTCTCTGGACTCTTCTTCTGAATCAAGATCCAGTTGATGATCTGGAAGTTACTAATCTGGCAGTTATTTGTGCCTCTGTTCTTGTTTCTCTGCCCATATGTAATTTTATAACAAAGTCAATTATTTCCTTCTCCCTATATCGCATGACATGGTCCTCTTAAACTGCTGAAATCTTTTTTATGAACTGTTTAGAATAATGGTCTCCTTTACTTTTTGGTTTCTTGTATTTCAACCCAGGCTTCTTTCTGCTGTAGGTCATACTACTTACGGTATTTACAGTTCTGGGAGGAACTTCAGTGTTACTACAAGGTCATTAGCAGATATTGGTCTATGCTTTTTACATAGCAAAGAACCACTCCAAAACTGTTCAAATGTAGCTCTTGAATGAAAATTTTTGCCTTTCAAATGCAGTGTCAGTCTTACTTCTGCACATGACGTTCCATCTTATTTGTTCAAAGAAGTGATTTTGTAAAACCTTACTTTCTTCATGGGTGAAATGCATGGGATAATATAAGAATTTTTCCTTAACCTCTCCACAGGTTTCTTATGAGATCTGAAGAAATATTAGCTTTCCCCCCACTCTGCCCTTGTAGCATACACTTTCTCTTTCCTTACATGGCTGTTGGAGAACACCGCTACTCTTCTCATTTGAATTTGTTCCATTTCCAAGCTGTGTTTATTCATGGTGAGGTTATACCCATTTATTCTTGTGTCAACATTTTTCTATGGCTTAAATAGCCCTTCACTGGGCTTCTTTGGGATTTACCCTAGTGATGATTTATGATGATTCTCAAGGCATATACTTCTCTCTATTCATGGGAGACCCAGGATCTTTTTTGATCTGTTTGCAAGAGAGGATGAGCATTTTAATAGCCTTCCTATGCATCTGTTCCAGACTGATTTTTTTCTTCTTCTTTTTTTTGCCCCTGGAACATGAAGGAGATAAATACTCCAGCTGAGATCTCAAAATGACAATGGTTTTCTTTCTACTGGACATGACTTCTTTGATAGTACCTAGGATTTGCTTTGTCCATAGCTGTGTTATAATAGTGGCTCACAGTTATGCACAACCAGTACACCCAGGTCCTTCTCTTCTGTCTGCTGTTTCATTCAAGAAACTCCCAGCTTAGCATAAATTTTTGCCATCATTGTGGATAACCCAATTTCATACTATACTGCATCTGCATCATCCAGTACAGTATTCCAGTCTTCCTCTGCATTGACAGGAGCTCCCAATTGCTTTTTGTTTTGTTTTTACTAGCACACAAATGACTCTGTCACAAAAAGCATGTATGAAAACATTACACAAAACTGTTTCCAGTATCAAAGCTGAAGGAACCCTACTAGAAACTTCTTCCAGGCTACAATTTTCCCTTTCAAATTTCTCTTTTTAGCAAGCGAGTTCCTCACCCACCTTGTCTACACTCTGATGTTCAGTTTTCCCCGCTAGTAATTTGACATCCAGAGAAACTCTTTTATCCAGAATATCTAGTATTTTTTCCAGTGTTTTTTAGGCTAGCCTCCTAATTGATTGCCTATTTATATTTACCTCCGTGTTTTCAATTGTTAGTTTTTCCTTTCAAGACTCTACTATTGAGGTGCTACTATCCGGCACCGATGGAGAAAACTATCATTTTAAATGTATAAACTTCATTCCTTGTTTTGCAGCAATATAATACCATGTTAGCTGACCACTGTGTTTAAAATCCTTGCTTTTTTTTGAGGTTTCATGGACCAGTTGTGGAGTGGGAAAACTACTATCTAGATCAGTTGATTGATTTTCTGGGGCTGTCTTGCTGGACTTGGTTTAAACCAACATCACAATCCTGTGATTTCTTTATACTCATATTACAGATCTTTCAGAAACACTTAGAGGAGTCCTCCTCATATTCAAAACAAGTGAGCTTTGTAGCAACGGGACTTCCCTCAGAGCTCTGTAAAATGCAGATTTCCTGCTCAGAAGGAAGGCTTGAAGACAACAAAATGTCACAGTGATTGCATCTGCAGTAATAACATTGTTGAGCCTCATTTGCACAGTAGCAACCTGATCGCTAGGACGAAGGCTGAGCAGGGGGTTTCCTGCAGCCAAATCCTGCCAGGCAGCGGCGTTCCTGGAGCATGGCACTGCAGGGAGTGAGCAGCCATCCTCCCTTCTCTTCATTCTTAATTTGCGTGCATCTCTTCATGTTCCACACTTGGTTTTGAGCTGCAGATTGCTAATCCTCAGGCTTTAGAGGAAAGTCTGTTTGGAGCTGAAAAGCTTCGAACCAGACAAGCACTAACTGGATCATGGACGTTTGCTTTAGAGCAGCCATCTGTGTACTAGTAGGTACTTGGTTCCTCTCTGTGCAAATGATCACACTTGCCCTCCTGGCCTTTGCAAGGGAGCCCACTGCCTTGTCTGTGGCACATCTACTGCTTCAGGCAGGCTGTGGCATTGCTGAAGCTTAGCCTTGATCAGCGAGAGGACCACTCTGCAAGAAGACCTTATGGAGACAGCCAGAAAAGGGCTCATTTTAATGACTCAGCCCAGAAATAGATTTTTACCAACAAGATTTCCAAACCACACATGGAGTCCAAATGACCAGAGGCACAACCCTCCATTCCTTGCTTCCCCAGCAGCAGTGTCGATGTACCAGCCAGAGAGGCCAAAGGGGGAAAAGTCCTGTTTGCTCTGTCCTTTTCCCACGTCTGCTCCCTGGCGTGCAGGCCTGGCTGCAATGCTCATGGGACTTTTCACTGGGCTGGTTAATGTGCTCAAAACAGCCAGGAACTGCAGTGTGTTGAAGAGCTGATTTTCTGATGTATGAGTTACATTAAGTTAGTGGATGGTTCCAACATGTGCTGGAGCTGGTGCAAGGTATGCAGCAGGAGCAGCCTCGTAAGAAAGATTACAGCCATACAACCCTGCCCAAATCACATACTCTGGCAGCATCGTCTTCCTTTTCATATTGGGAAATGCTTAGTGAAAGTCTTCTTTCTATCAGTGTATAATATGTATGTTCCAATAACAAGATTTTACAGGTACAATATAAACCATAGTCCCAACTGTTTAATGTATCATAATCACAGAATCATAAAATAGTTAGGGTTGGAAAGGACCTTAAGATCACCTAGTTCCAACCCCTCTGCCATGAGCAGGGACACCTCGCACTAAACCATGTTGCCCAAGGCTCTGTCCAGCCTGGCCTTGAACACCTCCGGAGTTGCAGCATTCACAGTTTCCTTGGGCAACCTATTCCAGTGCCTACACCCTCACTGTGAAGAACTTCTTCCTTATATATAATCTAAACTTCCCCTGTTTAATTTTGAAGCCATTACCCCTTGTCCTACCGCTACAGTCCCTGACAAAGAGTCCCTCCCCAGCATCCCTGTAGGCCCCCTTCACATACTGGAAGGCTGCTCTGAGGTCTCCACGCAGCTTCTCTTCTCCAGGCTGAACAGCCCCAACTTTCTCAGCCTGTCTTCATACGGGAGGTGCTCCAGTCCTCTTATCATCCTTGTGGCCCTCCTCTGGACTTGCTCCAGCAGCTCCATGTCCTTTTTATGTTGAGGACACCAGAACTGGACACAGTACTCCAAGTGACGTCTCATGAGAGCAGAGCAGAGGGGCAGGATCACCTCCTCTGACCTGCTGGTCACGCTTCTTTTGATACAGCCCAGGATACGGTTGGTTTCTGGGCTGCAAGCGCACACGGAGGCTGGCTCACATCAAGCTTCTCATCAACCAACACCCCGAAGTCCTTCTCCGCAGGGCAGCTCTGAATCACTTCTACACCCAACCTAATCCTAACAGTAAAGCGGAAACTTTAAAAGAATACTGTGATAGAGGTGCTGGTCAGATATGAATAATGTGTAGAGGTAGGGTTTAAAGCTAAACAGCCTAGCTTTTGGGCTTTGGTAATACACAACTGATGAATATGGAGCTCTTTCTGTGGGATAAAAAAATATGTAGCAACCAATGGATCTTCTAAAAGCATATGGTTGCAACACCTGCAACATGGGGCCAGCTTTTCCTAGATGACTATGGTCATTGTCTCAATCCCATCCTAAAATGGGTTCCAAAATAAAATAGGAATCATCTTGCATGGTTAGTTTCAAATCCGTTTTCTTGGAACTTGTTTACCTTAGTCATTCTTGAATAAGGTGCAGAGATTCTTCAGGTGGACCCAATGTTTAGAAAAGTTGTGTTTGCTTTTGGAGCTGATTTTTAACATGGCATGTTATAAAACTTCATTTTACCTTTCAGAGCTTGGAGGATGAATCGAAGTGGGTTGAAGATCTTCTTAAGATGCACACTGCACGTGTGCGTGACATCGAACAGCTCACAAGCTTGGACTTCTTCCGAAAGACCAGTCGCAGCTACACAGAAATCCTCTCCCTAAAGACATACCTGCATACATTTGAAAGTGAAATTTAGCTTTCTAACCTTACTCAGTGCATCCTTTTATCAACTGGTGTATATTTTTATATTGTTTTTATATTTATTAATTTGAAACCAGGACATTAAAAATATTAGTATTTTAATCCTGTATCAGATCTTAAATATTAAACCCTTGTGTCATTTGTTTGTTTCTCTAATGTTTAATATAGGTTTATTTAGTAGCGCTTGTAATACTGCAGCTTGAGTCCTTACTCCGAGCTTTTAAGTGGTGCTGCAGGGTTTGATACGTGCATCATGGAAATATTAATTTCCCATGCTCCTTTACCACACTTGTAGTCCTGTACTGTGTATCAAAATACTGAACATGTAAAATTACATTCATTTACTGTTAACTATGTGACAGACATATTTAAACCCTATAGCCAAATAGCATCTTAAATATAATAAACCACACGTTCAGTTTTTTTAATGTGTTTTGATTTCCTTTCACAGGGACTTTCAGAGGCACTTGTGGGCAGCTGAGTGCTGCCAGATCTCTCTTATTGACTGGGCAGAGCCCTTCTCAAGAGCTTAGGTTTGCTGGTAAGAGGACCTCCAGGACCCCAGGTGCCCTGTCCTAATACTGAGCAGTGAGACCATAAACCACACACCCACAGAATATCATTACTGGTTAGGTTTTGCCATAGTAGCAGAGCTGGGAGGGGAGGTTGGTTGGTGTCATAAGCTACTGGGGTACCCCACACATGGCCCTGCTTTGAAGCTGTGGGGAGGCTGTGAGGTGACAACATCTGCTGTCACTGGTAAGGCTGTATTGCATTCCTTCTGCATTGCCGCTGCTCTTGGCAGGTTCCTGGGAATATCTGCTCCATTGGCCTTTGCTTTGACTTAGAGGGAAACTGAGATAAGGGAGATGTTTAATGAGGTGACATTGCTAAACACCCAGCAGCGGATTTTAGGTGGGAGGAGAAAATCTGATTTTTGTCATCTTGTTCTAAAGGCCAGAATCTGCAGAGTTTTGCCCTAATCCAAGTCTGAGGCTTAATGTTAGCCCTCATTCTCAAAGGAAGCCCTTTGGTCTGATTGCACATATATAACTTCCGGTACTGTAAACCCCATACAGTGCATGTGATTTACAACCTGGTCAAGTGAATCAAATCTGTGTTGGCTACTTCTGTGCACTCACTGTCTCGTAATCCTGGCAAGCCCCTACAAGTGACACTGATGGCACAGCCCTAAGCCAATGGAAGAGGCACGGTTGCATGTTAGCATATTTAGATAATGGCCTCTTTTGGCACTGACAGCTTCTATAGAAGGCATATGGTATGGAGCAGTAGTATTAGTGTAGTTGGCTGATGTAAAAGATGAATTATTGTTTAGAATTCCTCTTAAGGCTCAAACCACCAGTGGCACTATTACAAAGCCATCATTTGGGGTTACAGGTTTCCCTCTCTACCGAAGTGCTTTGTGTCTATTTTCTCTTTGAGGGTTGCAAATGCTGGAGGGAAGTGGGAAGGGCTGGGAAGCATCTCAGCCATGTACACAGACAAGAAGCCAGGTCTTCTAAGTAAAATTAAGCTGGCACAATTTCAGCAGCTTGCATCTGTGCAACATCTATTTAAGAGAAAGCAGTAAGCAGGAATTAATCATGTTAACACTGATGATAAAGTTCTTGTGACCAGAAGACAAAATTTTATTATTATAGGTGTCAAATTCTGTTTAAATTAGAAAAGCACGAAACTCAAAGGCTTTAAAATCCCCCCCAAGTGTTAGGATACAAATTCTAATAACTGCATAAAGCTCTGGGAAACATCTGATTCCTGCAACTTAAAAATCGTCTCTTGTGGTTGTCTGGTAGCACAGAAGTATTTTCCTGTAAGCTTTTGGCAGGGCTTCTTGCCATGATAAACTTTACATTCTTACATGTGCTACAAAGGGTATTTCCTCTGGATTTAAAACAGTTTTCAGTTAAGTCTTAATTCCTTCAGCACCAACTTTAGTGATTATATATGTGGTTGTTTCTAAACTAAACTCAAGACCACCACAACTGTTTTGCTTTGACATTAATCTGTTGCTTTGGTTTTGTTTTTTCTTTTTTTCTGATTTAATCTGACAAATGATGTAACTCTTTTATTTTCTCCCAAAATAAGATGACATTTATACCAAAGGAACATTTAAGCTCTGAAAGATACTCTTCTTGTATTCAGAGAAGTTTGCTTTTAAAATACAGTTCGTGATGTTGGATGGTGGTTGGGAGAGATGATTTAACTCTATCTCAGTTTCACTGAAGAATGATGATCAGTGTGTAGGAAATGTGATTTTTCTTAGTTGCTTGCTGTGCGAATAAATACTAGTAATTTATTTCTGTTCTGCTTCGTTCTCTTCAGCCCTTGGCCCATTCTGTTGTGTGGTACTGCTGTTTTATTTTACCATGATGGCAGAAGCAGTAATGCTGGTGACTTCTGTGAATTGCATGGAGTTTTTCCTGTTAAAAGATAACTTATCAACACAAAAGTGCCAGTGCAAAGCTAAAGCCTTGTAAATCCCTCTAAACAGCATGGGCTCTGCAGGAACAACAGACATTTTAAAGGAAACTTGTAATTTCCCTTTGGTATTCATCAGGGTGAATGTTAGCTTAGGGCAATGTGTAGGAAGGAACCCCTCTGCTTTCCATTCCTGTCAGACCGTTTTGAAAATATGAAATACCACTTGCTTCTGTTAAATGTTTCCTCTCCTTGATGTTACTCTGGCTTCTGCAAGAGGTCTGTTGAGGAGAACAAGCACTGAATCTTTCTGTCAAGCAAACACTACTGTTGAGGGTTTGGGTAATTACTGTTTTCAATGGTGCTGCAAATCTGAGGCATGTTTAATAGGTTGGAGGCAGTTCAGTTGAGCAATTGTCAAGGCAACAAAAGCCGTAGGTGTCCTGCACACCTAACAAAGGCCTTTTGCTCTGGGAAAACCCTTCAGAGGCAGTTATGCAACCGGAATATCCCTGCTACAGGAAACTGTTACTTTTTTTAACCCCTTTTTCACAGTCACATATCCTTAACAGATAAGCACTGAAAGCAGGTCAAGTAACCTGACTAACACCACTGTCATCATGGCAAGTCATAGTGAAAGTCACCATCCTATACTGGCAGTACTGGCATACTTAATTACTACTGTTTATATTCTGTCCTGGTCAGCTAACAGCTTGGTTAGATGGATACATTCTGCTTATTGTCACTTTCCTGTCCTTTATTTCCAGCCTTTATTCCCCTCATGGTGTT